CAACGCGGATCAAAATGCCAAAACCAATCATGGCATTAGTCCTTTGTGGCTGGCAGAGGATTCACTGGGGCCAGACCATCCAGTGACCAAGCGATTGCAAGAGCTGGGGGCAGAAAAACGGTCAGAGATAGAACATCCTACCAGCGTGCCAACGCGACACACGCCAATCCACAAGCTAGTTAGGATTCGAATCTGATTCGATGGGATGTTTCTGGAGCTGGGAATAATATCTGAGAAGCACTGTGGTTATGTCAGGTTGCAAAGGTATTGGCTAACGTTAGATCCTAGTAGAGTTGAGCCAGGGTCTGTGCAGGTGTTGGTTCTGTTCTTGGGCGGATTCTAGTTCTGGCGTTTGTAGCGGTACAGTCATTCCTTGACCATCTTCATCCTCACCGTCGTGGACAACAAGCAATATGACCTAGCAGCCTCTCCAAATGGCCTGCGCCTACCGTAAACCGGAAAGCTACAAGAATCAAGCCAACCCAAGCGACTTGGCTTTGCCGTAACCAGTTTTAAGCTCCTTAGCTATCATCGGTGCACCCACAACAGGTGCAGTTAACATTGGCACAATCGACTTCCACTTGGGAGCGGGGATGTGACGCACAAAATGACAACGGCACAGTTCCGGTCAAGAACTCGTTCCCGTTCAGAGAAACCGATATCAGACTATTGGGGAGGAATATGTCGGTTGGCACAGAGCCATAGAGCCCGGAATTGGCCATTTGAAGCACGTTGAGACCGTGAAGACGCCCTAGTTCCGACGGGATGGTGCTGTTCAGCGTATTGTCATTCAACAATAGACTTTGCAGTTTTGTGGTCTGTCCAATCTCTGTTGGCAATTAGACCTGTGAAGGAGTTTGAAAAGATTTCAAGTACCTGCAGTGTTGGGAGAGCCAGTTCATATTATGTTTAGCAAGATCAATACATGTAGCAACGGGGATACATAACGAGCCAAAACCTTACCTTCAGACCTCCAAGGCTCCCCAACTCGGTGGGGATGCTTCCGGACAGTTTGTTTCGTTCCATTTCCAACTGCTCCAACAGTTGACAGTTTCCAATGTGAGTGGGCAAGGTGCCCCTGATGCTGTTGTAGCTGAAATCAACTTCTTCAAGTCGTGCGAGTCGAAAAAGCTCGGATGGCAATGTCCCCGTCAAAGACATTCCTGCCATCTGTAGTTCGACCAAAGACGACAACATCCCAAACTGCGACGGTATTTGGCCAGAGAGGGAGCTGAGGTAGAACAGGACTGTATGCAGCTTGTTCAATCTCCCCAACTGGATGGGATCGGGCCTCGAATCATCTCGTTCTCGGCCACATCCAGGCCGTACAGTTTGTCCAAGCTGCCCAGCTCCGTGGGTAGAGTTCCACTCATGGCGGAATCACCAACTCCAAACCATAAAAGATTTGACAATAGACCGTACTGTGAGGGTATCGTGCCATCAATCAAAGTGCCGCGGGTCACCAGAAGTTCAAGTTGGTCAGTTGTGACAATTCGCTTGGCAAGGTTCCCTTCCAACAGAGTGTTTTCTGCGCGAAAGTCTCCAAGTGCTGTTGCCAACCCCAATTCACTTGGGATGGATCCAGACAATGCTGCAACATCATTCAGGGTAAGGTTCACCAGACGGGAGAGCATGCCAAGCTCTGTAAACAGGGTCCCTGTGAATGCATTTTGATCTAGAATCAGCTCATTCAGTTCTGTGAGCATGGCAAGTTGTGTGGGGATTGTCCCTTCCAACTCATTGGAAGCAAGGTTGATGACCTGGAGTGAATCCAAGAGCGACAACTCTGGAGGCAGAGTACCATTCAGTTTCTCATTCGGGATGGAAAGAGTTGTACGACGAGTTTCGCAGGCGGCACTTTTGGAGGTGCTTTTTGTGGTTGTAGTGCTCGAGTCTCCCCAGTTGCATTCATGAAGATTGTAGTCTAGCCATCCCGTGGTCCAGGATGCCAACGAATGATCCGTTTCGGTGTCATGATCTGCAGCAAGAGTCGCATAGTAAAAAGTTGCGAGAGCATACCGGTCCAGCTTTCGTTCAAATGGGTAGATTTCATGGAGATGTGGGTCTTGCAGCAACCAATGCCATGCCTTTGCTTGTGGAGACTGTTTGTCATTGAGGATAGTTTCCTGAGTATAGTTGGGCAAAAGTGACAAGGAAAGCTCCAATGGTTGGAGCATGCGTCGTGTCGTCGTCGTTGTTGTTTGTAGGGAAGGATTGGAGGCCATGGTAGGAGCCACTTCCGGAAGTATTTGGCAGTCCTCATCCCTGTTTCGCAAGGAAGGACCGCCAAAAGAATGACGCGCTCCAACAACAATCAGCAGGCAGCATAGGACCATGACCTTTCCTTTGGGCGTGGCAAAGAATGCCTTGAGAATTGCATCGTCATCCATGGCTTGTGCTTCAAAGACGTTTTCGTCGTCGTTGTGACCGTTGTTTGACACCAAGGTAGCTTCCAATAAAATATTGCCGTCCGGCTGTTGCTGCTCTGTGTGCTGCAAGGCAGAACGGTCGGTGCCAGCAGCACAAGATGCTGCTGTTGTTGCCAGCTGTTCCTCCAAAAACCTCTCTGATGATCCATCATTGGGCATACTTACAGCAATAGTTCCCTGCTCCTCGGCCGTGTCCACAATAGGAGGCGTGGCATACGCCCCTGGACGAGCCGTGGTAGTGCCCGCACCGGGAGATGCGCGAGAGAGTCGCAACGGTGGAGGCGCTGCATCATCTCCACTACCGGTGCTTGCCTCTCTTCGATTGGCTATGGTGGCTTTTGTCGTGGTGGTGGGTTCCCATCGTCGAGACGTAGGAGCCGAAGCAGAAGTAAGTCGATAGTGGTCGGCAATGGATTCAAGAATGAACTCTTGACTTTGGACACAGTCTGGCGAGGGCTTTTGGATCAATCTTGCTCTTCGATAGGAGGCTTGTGTACCATCCGATTCGTCTTGAGTCATGCTGGAGCTGTCAGCCAACAAATCCTTCTCCAGACTGACACTATTTAGTTGAGAGTCCGGCCTCGTGGATGAATGATTACTGTCTTGCTTTTGCTGCAGGAATGGAAGTATCTTCTTGTGCTTCTCTGGAGGTTGAGTTTGGGACGACACACCATTGCCCTGACGATGACTTTCGGCAATCGATTTAAGAATCATTTCGTGACTTCTTGGCTCCTCCTCATCTTCATCCAGTTCTTGCCTCGCACCCCATTTCCTCCTCATACTGGTACCAGTACTCCCATGTGATCTGTCTTGAGACATGCGGCTGCTGTCTCCTAGCGAGTCTTTGACACTGCTCACATCACGGGACGCTCCACTCGAGTTGCCAGTAAAGGGATCTAATTCGTTTGAAGAGGATCGCCTCTGAAAGTCTTTGGTGGCGTTGCTCATCTTGGTTGAGTCCCAATCGATCATATAATATATCAATGGAGGCCTACAATGTTGTGATCCAATGGGGTATCATCGAGCCAGATGATCGAGAGAGCTTTTAGAGCTTTGCTTCTTGAAGATCCAAAAAATGGTGCCATCCGAAGCCGGTCACTTCATAGCACTCTTCATGCAACAACTCAGACACAGGTGAAACCACCAAGTTAAAAACGTTGATTCCGAAGGTGAGAAACGTAAATAGCCTCTTAAATAATGGCGCGGTGCCTGTGGGTTGGAAATCGGAAAACAGTCACTGGCCAACTTAAGAGAGAGCACTAATCCTTACTTAGGTTATTATTATAGTGTACCGATACAACAATTGCAGCTCCTCCCTCTTTACTCTGCACTCTGCAGCTCCTCTGCCCAGTTTAGTAGATACTGTATTTCCACTCCAGCACTACTAGTACTGCTTACTACTCGTAGCTAGTGCTGCCAGGGGGCTGGATTTCTCCAGTGCCATCCCATGGTGTGAAATCGCTATTTTTAAAAAATAGAGCAAACATACATGTTGGCGTCAGAATTCTGCACCTCTACCGGCAAATTGATTCATTCTGCACCTCTACCGGTAGAGCAAACAAACATGTTGGCGTCAGCATTCTGCACCTCCAGGGTAGGGTGTGCACCATCGGTGTCATCGACGACGAGCTCGAGCTACATGTATTAATAGTGGTACCGACTCTACTGTGCAGTATTTAGACTGTAACCTGTTGCCCACACGAGAGCGCGTTTCGAGTTTTGCCACATTTTGTGCACGTACCAGCCGTAAGCTTCATGCCCAAATCAGTCACTGGGGTAGAAGCGTTAAATACATTGGTTCCGATGGTGAGAAGGGTAAATGACTTTAAGTGAGTTACTTGAATATGCTTAGGGTTCACGTTTATTTTGGTTCCACCCGAAACCGTATCTTTGGCTCGAGGTCTTCCCCCTTCGCCCTTCGCCCCAACGCTCAAACCACATCCACACCTCCTCCTTTGCTCCTCCCTGCCCTCCTGCCCTAATACCTTCCCCCCTCTCCTTGGTTTTGATGTTGCCCTGCTTGCACACTTGATTGCCTGCCTTGCATTCCTGCATCCTGCCCTCCCTTCTCTGCACCCCATCCTCCTCATAGTTCCCTCTACCCCATAGTAACTTTTCCGTTTCACATCGACAACACACAAGCACATAACGTAAAGATGCCAGCAAAGGGAGAGATTAAGCGTCGCAAGAAGACCTCCAAATCAAAGGAGGCCTCTAATAATAATGCGTCCAAGAGCGAGTCTTCTTCCGATGACAGACAAAGCAACACAAAAAACGAAGAAGCCGAAAACGTGGACGACAGTAACGACAAATCCCCCATCCAAGTCTTTCTGGAACACCCACTGGTCGTGGTGTTGCCGTGGTTTGCCATTCCGTATTTGCTGTACAACGCGTACTTTTTCCTCCAATTGCAACGACCCGACTTTTTGGAACCGTTTGGAATTTCCTTGCGTCCGCCCGTGGGAGTGGAGGATCCCCGTCAAGTGTTGATTGTGGGCAGCATGAGCAGTGGGACCATGCAAGTACAGCATGATCTCACCACACTGCTGCAATTGGAAATTGGCCACGAATCGAGCAACAGTCAAACCGAATTTGTGCGTGATGGAACCGTCAGTTGGATACACGTCATGCGCTACTTGGAACCTCCAAAGTCCAAAGAGGGTCAAATCACGGCCCACGAAAATCTATGCCAACAATTAACTCCCCAAATGGGATTCCATCCCGCCATGTATCGACCGTCGCAACTTGGGTGTAGTACACGACAAACATGGAATTCATGCTGGTCTCAAGAATGCTCTCAAATTATTCAACGGGAATGGGGATGTGCCCTCCCAAATACTCCGCAGACTTGTCAAACTCCCTTTCGAAAGGTACTCCATCAAGTCCGACATCCACTGCGTACCATCGAATCCCTCGTGGTCAAATTCTGTCAGGGGGGATTGGATGGAGACGTATCACCCTCCTTCCAAAAATTTCGACAAGCACTCTTTCCGGGACGTCATTACAGTCCGGACCATTCCTGCATTGAAGCCGCCGCGCACTATGTATTGGCATATCATCATGCCCTGTTGACAGCACAAGCATTTTCGCTGATTGATGCAATGTTCCAAGTCGAATCCAGTTCTCCCTGTGATATGGCTCGTTTGGCAGGATTCATCGCGACGGATCAAGAGGCGGCAGATGTGGTGTATCCACCCAATGCGGAAAAGGTGACGCGGATATGCGCCACCAACGAGAATGCTCGAGCCATCATGACACCGAAAACGAACAAGATCAATGTTGGATTGGTGTCTTTGCAATGGGAAGATCTTCGCGGTGGCAAGCATGGCAGTGTGCGTGAAACGGGGGATACATCGTTGGAAGTGGAAGTGCGAGCCTTGGTGCAAAAGTTGGGATACGAGGAATAACACTTACTTTTGGAGCTCTGTGGGTGTGTTTTTGAAAGAAGACCGCCTACAGCTGGAGTACGGTGTCTAATTATTTCAAAACAATTTTGTTTACTGTTTCCTTCCTCAACCCAGTAGAAATTGGCTGGACTTGCCTTATGGTAGGGAGTACGGTAGCAAGTAGAATTGTCCACATGTGCTAGCTTTCGCCAAGAGTGTCACCACGCCCAACTCCTGGTCCAACACCAGAACCCATACCAGGCCCAGCACCAGTCAACTATACAGTACCAGAATTTGTCCTGAGACAACACCTAGCCCCACTCCTAGCTAGCTAGTCCAACAAGAAGTGCCAACTCCTGGCCCTGCTGTGGTCCCCAATCATGGACAAACATCTGAACCAACTCCAGGAGCCGCTCCAGGACGTACCGATACGACTGTACCCAACCTGACCGCTCTCCTATTTTACCAATGCCAAGGCGTCAAGGCCGACAAACGCGTAAAAGTTGATATCTTAACTTTGAGGTATTTCACGCCGGCCCTCCTCGGAACTTCCAACACGATCGATCTTTGACATTCCTTCCGCGTCGAGCATTCACAATCTTTGTTCGAGCAAAGTCATCATCATACTCCCGCAAAATTAATTCTGGTGCCGAAGAAAAGAAAGACCGTTGACCATGAAGATCATCTCAAGCTTGCTTGTTGCCGTTTTGGCCAGTGTAGTATCCGCTGAAAGGTTCAATGAAATCAAGGTAAGAGCTTGCCTACCGTAGTAGAGGTGGTTTCGGTTTTTCGCTGTCTGATTTGACCGTTGAGGTGACAGACGTCATTGTGAGAATTTGTTTCGTGTTTGTCTTTGGGATGATGATGTCCCTCCTGTGATCTGTGTTATGTAGTGAGGATGTGTACAGTACTCACGGATTGTTGCCATCTTTTCTCTTTTTATGATGTTAGATCCGCGACGATGCCGTTCACAACAACTACGAGGCTCCTTTGCCTCACACGTACCTAAAAGCAGCCGACATTCCAGCCAGTTTCACTTGGGCCAATGTCGATGGAAAATCCTACTTGACGCACAGTCTCAATCAGCACATTCCTCAGTACTGTAAGTGTCGACTGTGTGGATTCTTTGTCGAACGAAAAAGACATTCTGACCGTTTTCTTTGTTTTTTACAGGCGGCTCTTGCTGGGCCCATGGAGCGTTGAGTTCGTTGGGAGATCGTATCAAGATTGCCCGCAAGGGTCAGGGCGATGATATCAATCTCTCCATCCAGTATATTCTCAATTGTGGATCCGATAGTGCTGGTTCCTGTCATGGAGGATACCACACGGCCACCTACGAATTTATTCAAAAGACGGGATATGTTCCCTATGATACCTGCATGCCCTATGTGGCTTGCTCCAAGGAATCCACCGATGGAATCTGCCCTCATGTCGATACACAGTGCAGTGCCACGACCACGTGCAAAACGTGTGATACATTTGCCGGAATGGGTGGAAAGTGTGTGGAGATTGACATTTTTCCCAATGCCACCGTGGCAGAATTTGGCATGGTACCCACCAAAGATGCCAGCAATCCCGACTATGATGTCGTCAAGGCGATTCAATCTGAAATCTTGATGCGAGGACCCGTTGCAGCCACTATCAATGCCGAACCGATTGTCGCATACCAGGGTGGTGTCTTTACGGATGATTCCAATTCCCAGCAAACCAATCACATTGTCAGCATTGTAGGATGGGGGCAGTTCTCCGACAGCGACAGTACCAGTGATGACGACAAGAAAAAGACGTACTGGATCATCCGCAATTCGTGGGGCCAATATTGGGGAGAATTGGGGTACTGCCGCGTGGAGGCCGGCAAGAACATTCTTGGTATTGAAGGAGAGGTGGCATGGGCGACACCTGGAGCTTTTACCGTTCACAACTTTCCCTGTCATGAAGATGGCAAGAATTGTGATTTCCACCACGGACCTGCCGTCAAAACCCAGCACTATGTCGATCCTTCCTACAGCGAAGCCCATGTGGAGGAACATTTGAAAATGATTGGTGTCCGTGGCAGTACTGATGTGCAAGAAGAGCCTGTGATTCATTACGTCCGATCGGCGGAAGTGTACTAGCTGGCTAGCTAGCTAAACCAAGATACAAAAAGTTTAAAAATGCATCCATCAATCCACCCCAGCTGTCGGTACCAGATACTGGCTTGCTCTAGTGGCTAGAAGGGTTTAGTTTCAAGCATGAATAGAGATTTGTTTATACCGTACGGTGGCGAAAAAAAATTGCTCAAAGCCCGGACTAAAAAGGAACGATGTTTCATACTATTTTAGCAAAGGGTGACTGATGATCAACTTCCCAGTCACTAAAACACAGCCTCCAGGCTTTTGGGTAGTCTAACTCTTTGGTTTTGGCCTGACTCTTTCATCTCTTCTGTGAGACTCAACTCATCACTGTTGGGCTAAACAAAATGAATCCCTAGCTACAGTAGAAGAACTCGCTTTCGTGAACAGGCCAAAGGCATGGTTGCTAGCTTCATGCCAAGTGCAATAGTACCATCCACAACAGTTGGGGACAGTACTGGGGAGAGCTTGGGTATTGCCGCGTGGAGGGCGGGAAAGAATATTGGATTGAAGGAGAGGTGGCTTGGGCGACACAACGAGCCTTTACCATTCACAAGAACTTTCCCAGCCACGAAGATGGCAAGAATTGTGATTTCCACCACGGACCTGCCATCAAAACCCAGCACTATGTCCATCCTTCCCACAGCGAAGGGCATGTGGAGGCCATTTGAAAATGATTGGTGTCAGTCACAGGAAGTATTCTTCTCTTCTCCAATCGGACTAGCTAGTAGACATTTATTTGGATGCTGTATTGGGCATGGAAAGGGCCCGAAATCACCATTTACAAGTAATTCTGCTTCATATTTGGGTTTCGATTTTATATTTGGGTTTTGGATTGTATATTTGGGTTTCGATTTATATTTAGGTTTCGGCTTGATTTTACTAGTTATTTACCATAGTAATTTGGTTTCGGTTTTATATTTAGATTTTGGTTTTATATTTTGGTTTCGATTTAATATTTAGGTTTGGACTTGATCAATTTAATTGGGTTCTTAAAATCGTGATTTCGGGCTGTTTCATCACGATTCAGGATCACATTGACGAAGGAAACTGGGGAAAGAAAGTTTAAAAGTATTATAGTACAAACATAGATATTCCAGATTCCAGACTTCCAGACGCCCACCACCATCTGTCACACTGGCAGCTCTTTTAAATCTATTCATGGTGTGAGACCTGTGTTATGATGTCGTCATGGTTGTACCCTGAATATAAGCAAACTCAATTTCTAGATATCTAGCCAGAGCGCTAGCGATACATGTATGATGTATGTATCGTATGTGAAGTGCTGAAATTGACTGCTTTATTGGTGTAGTCTACTAGTAGAACCCTGCAACCTGCAAGCTCAGACAATGCAAAAACTCTTTTTTAGTGGAGGCAAACATACTTTTCCTTTCCTGCAATGAAAACACGTGCCAATAGCATGGTTTTTCTACTCCCTCCTGCTTTTGGTTTGCCCGACACAGGGATTGAAGTGAGGGAAATGAAGTTGAACAGCACAACTCTTTTGTGGTAGCAGAATAGTAAGCTGCTACCATACATGGCACTGATGGTTTGTCACGAGATACCGGTAGCACACGATACCTGGTACCAAGTCTACAGCGTATCTGTGTAATGCTACCGGAGAATCTTATACTCAAGGTGAGTATGAAAATTTGAAAGAGCTAAACGGGTTTTAGCGCGGTTCCGTACCATGCATGAACTGGTGGTGGTACCGTACGATGCATCAACAATGCTCAGCTCTCTGGTTGCCTTCCTTGCCATCATTTATATATTTCGAGCAGATTTCCTCCAACTCTCTCCTCCAAGTCTTTCTCTTTTTGCTTCCCACCACGATGGCCGTCAACACAAACCGTCCTATCACCAAGCACGATGCTCAGGCAACTTGTAGTGACAGCAAGCTAAGCAACTCCCCCTTCGTTCGTGGAATCATTTGCGGACAAATTCTTCAAATTATTGATGTTGGCTTGTTCTGCCTTTTGCCACACGGTGGACGGGGTGTCTTGGGTATGGTTTTGAGAGATGTTACTACATTGTTGGTCTTGGTGGGATTGTATGGTCTGCACTGCTACCAAAATGGGGTTCCTGTTCCAAGCTCGAGACAAAACTTCCTTTCGATAGACACTGGAAAAAATCAACTGCTGGCCTATCTGAATGGCTGTTTGGTCTGTCATGTTGTTTCCCTAGTCCTGTTTTCACATTTGAGGGTTGTGATTTTGAATGTTGCCCTGGTTGTCTCCGCTGTTGCGGTGCCCGTCAATGCTATGGCAACTACAAGGTGGCAACAAAACTCAGAGAGCGATGAATCACCAACAGACTCAAGAATCTCTAGTGGTGGACCTCCAGGAGACTTGTCTCGTCCACTTTTGGTCTAATCTGTATCAATCATTCGAAACTCTACTAGTACTCACATCTACCCTGGTTCCGATGGAACACCTCGCAGAACTGTCCTTGGACCAGAATCACCTTGAAGGATCCGTTCCCACAGAGTTGGGCTTGATGAGCAACAGCCTCGCCAGTCTCCGGCTTTGGGACCAAAACTCCAAACTCGTTGGAAGTATCCCCTCATCCCCTCGGAGATTGGGCGACTGAGCCAACTGGAAGTCCTGGATCTGGATCGTACATGCTACATAGTACAGATAGCTGTAAGGATGTAGAGTTAACGTTGTAAAAGTAATTTATCTTCTCTTTTTGCTAACCAGGTATGCCATAGTCACTGGCTCCTGCTGCTGGGTCCCTGGTGAGATGATATCTGAAAAAAAAACGCATTTGGTTCCCTCAGCGCACCCGCTTGAAGACATATTCGTATCGGGCTGGTAAATGATCAGCAAGGTCGTCCTTGTGAATGAAAATGCCAGTCTCACTCATCTTTACAGAATCCGCAATGACCGCCTTGTACTGATGGTTGCCGATTGCTTTGTCCGGTACCATCCACACGTTTCCCATGGCTGGTACCGCCATGTGACTTGGAAATCCGGGCTTGGCTACGGGATGTGGCTTTCGTTGGATATCATGGATCTTAGCAATGAGCGAATCATCAACAGAGTCCAATCCTAGGAGAATCCTACCACGCTGAATCAGGCTCAGGTCGGCTTGGTTCACGGCAGCAATCATTGCCAGTTGATGACGAACCGAATCTCCCGAAAGGAAGGGTACACCGTCGTACTGGTTGATGTAGTTGACGCAAGTTTGAGCTTCTTTAGCAACATTGGCAAGTGGAACACAGACGGGTGGACTCGCGTAGGCAAAGGCACGCCACTTTCGTCCTTGCATTCTCTCGTCAGCATGCAGCAGCAAGTTGACAACACATGTACTTCCACCTCCAAGACTGTGCCCACAAACAATCAGTTCGTAGTCTTGATATTTGTCCATCCAGCCAATGACATTGTCTCCTACCGCGTCCCACAAACGCTCCGCCATGATGGAAATGGCGGCATGCGATTCTCCACCCATAAAGTCACGAGAGTAACCATTAAAGTCGATCATGGCTTCTCTGTGCGTGTAGGTGCCACGAATGGCCAAGACGACTTTCTTTCGTTTGTGGTCTAGAGCCACAAAGTGTCGGAGCTGCTGGATGTCACCGTCATACTTGACATCAAAGCTGACCAAATCATTTGTTGGAATACCCGTGTGCTCACTGACTCGGGTGGCTGTCATGTCCCCCTTCCTCCAATCAAACTCGTGTTCATTGTCGATTTTGGATGACTTGATGCCGTTATCGCCATACGCAGCGGTTGCAAACTTCATAAAGTACGCTGCCTCTTGCAGTGGGAACTTGTCTAGAATTTGGCGCTTTGCCACTGTCTGATTATCCATCAACATTTCCTCGAAACGCTCCTTTTTCATTTTGTTCAAGTCGGCCTGCTGAATGACTCCCAACAGGGCTTTGTTTTCAATGAAACGGTGACCCATCTCCTGTGCTTCTTCAAAGATGCCAGCATCATTGGCGAACTAGTAGGTTCGTTGGATTGATTGATTGATTGATGATTGAATGCAAAAGACAAGAAGGACGTTTGAGAAAAGCCTTGTAGCTGGGATTTTCACAGGCCAGAAACAGAAACACAGCAAAACAAGCTAGCAAGCAAGCAGATTCGATTCAACCTTCTCAAATCAATCGCTTACATTGTAGAGGGCGGAGTATCCTTGATACATGAGCTCCAAGAGTTCGTCTCTGTGCGTAGAAGTGGACTGAAAGGCCGATTCATGGACACCCAGGAGGAACTGTTTCTTTCCCGCTTCCTCGTACAGCGCGTTCAGGAACTTTTCCTTCATGACATCGGATTGATCTTTGAGTGCCTGCAACTGAGAGAGAGTACGAACGTCCTCCAACTCTTTGTTGGAGGAAATCAATCCAGTGGATGCCGTGACACCAAAGACAGCATGAGCGACCGCTTCGGTGACGCCCAGAGTGACATCGACAAGGACATCAGCAAAGGGAACTTTGGAGCTGACCGCGGGGACGATGAGTTCGGCCACTTCAAAGACCGGATCGGCGAGAAACTTGACGGGGTGGACCCACCAAAAGAACAGATTTCCAGCCAGTCCATTGACTTGCAATCGCCGCATATCGAGCCTCAAATCATGAAGTTGACCCTGAATGTCAATCATGGCAAGGTCGGATCTGGTTGCCTCCTTCTCGGCTGTTTTGGTTGCTGCCGCCATAGTTTCTTTCCTTGGTTCTGTCCTTTCGATTTCCAGTGTGCTGTTCCGATATCTTATGGCGAACGAAGAACTGAATCAGAATCTTTCTTCAGGTGGTGTTTGGTATTGATGATGTCTCTGTTTTGTGCTACTGGTTGCCTTGGTTGCTTCGTCATCGATGACATGGATCTTTACTACTGTAATTGGAATAGAGGTGGCTGTCCTTTGGCAGCTGGAGTTGCTTTGCAAAGAAAATGGGAAGGCTGGTCTTGGAGGATCTTTTGTAAGGATCTCTTGTAAAACAGCTCAACTGTTTAGAACAGACAGCCGAAGGCTGATGCCCTCAACTGTCAAAAAAGAGATTTGATTCTTTGGCCAAATCCAACACTGTGTTCAACTGAACACACAGTCTACTGTAGTCTATCGATAGCCAACCAAAACACACACATTGGTACTCGGAGTATGTTTTACCAGCTAACAATTAATATTTACCTCATCCTTTATGACGGACGTACAGACTAACTTGCACACATACTCTGGTACTCGGAGTATGTTTTACCTGCTAACAATTATTATTTACCCCATCCTTTATGGCGGACGTACATACTAACTTGCACACACACATAGTTTGGTACTCGGAGTATATTTTACCAACTAACAATTATTATTTACCCCATCCTTTATGCCGGACGTACACACTAACCAGCACACACAGAGACGTACAGACTAACTTGCACATACAGCGATAAAAGTGTGAAAGACCCTCAGTCGGTTGAGGGCAATAAATCATCTGTTCATCGATGTGGGACGCGACGAGGTTGGAGCTCGACTGAGGACTCAATCAATGAATGCGAACCGAGCAATCCTGCATCATATAATAATATTGTGCGACTAAAAACGAATGTGTGACAAGGGCCTAAATCTTTACAATCGGGAAGTGGTCTTGGCACCCGAAGCAATGATTAAGGCAATTGCGATCCAGTAAGAATGTTAACAGTGACTATTTGCAGGGGGCACAGAACAGTGACTATTGACAGGGAGCACAGGTGTTAATTGATTGCTGTATGGTACTATGGTACCACAATGCAGACATTGAACCATGCGTGAAATGACACAGTCACACATATTCGATACTAGCTAGTAAAACGTGAAGAAGACTGCAGGGACCAGTCACCGTTGAGAGCTCGCAAGAGGAAGAACAACTTGATCACTTACTTGAAGCGCATCGTGGAACCATTGCTCATTCATCTGTTGCTGGCAGACGACTTTGCTTGCATCCCGCTCACTCGTCCTCTACACTCTCCATAGAAACATTGTCAGCCACAAAGCCATTCAATTTTAGTATTGTTCTAGCTAGCTAGCCAGTTCCAACAATACAACAACAGCAGCAATAGAAAGAAAGAAAGAAAGATGATGTCTGAATTGTTCCACAGGAGTTTGGGAATCCGCCAAGATGGCCGTTGCCATCGGCACCCCGATGTTTGTATCATGGAACCGGGTGCTTCTTCTTTGGGTTCGTGTCACCTCTGTGCCATGGAAGCTCACAAAGAACTGTTGCGAGACGACACGGCCACTACCATGAGCAATTCCTTCTTTTGGTCGTCGGCAGCTTCCTTGTCGTTGACGTCGAGTTTTCGCACGCCTCAGATTTCCAATGGCAGCAAACACTATAATGCTACAACTTCCGGCAATTCTGCTGCTGGCGGGAGTGGCAGACAACCGTACCATCCTCCACATCAGCAGCAACAGCATCAGCAGCAACCGTCGTCGGAAGAAATGGCCGAAAAGCAACAGCAGCAGCAATTCTTTGAATCCATCATTACGCGATGGGTCCAAGTGCAAGATGGCAGTCTACAGCAATCGATTGCGCTCAGTACTCCCTTGATTCTACACGAATTGCGCAAATTGGAAGCCAAGGTTCATCAGCAAGAAGCCACCATTCAATCCCAGCAAAAGACCATTCAAGAATTGCGACAATCCATTGATCAGAAACACACGGCGACTCAGGAACTGCTTCAAACTATTCTACAAACTGTAGTGTCTTCGTCATCCAACAATAACAACAACAACAATAGCAGTAACAAAGTAGAGGAGGAAGAGGAAGAGGAAAAACAAGAGAATATTCCCTTTGTGATTCCAACCACACGCAAGGCTCGTAACAACACCACGAATAATGGCAAGTCCAACAACACTCCACAACAGCAACGAACGACCCTCAAGAGACGACCTTCCATGAACTCAATGAAATCGGCACAGCGCTCCATTGACAGCGGCGTCAAACAACCCTTGACTCGTCATGACAGCAATGCCTCGTTTACCATTAACGACTTGCAGCCGCATCCTCTCACACCCACACGAGGACGCGGTGGTGCCATGTCCGCGTCGCAACCCATCCAGTTCACGTCACCCCTTCCCGCCCATGAAATTCAAATCATGTCCCTCTCACACACCCAACTCTCCCCCAAGACCGAAATTGCACTCGATGGAAGTCATCATTCCCTCGAGCGCAGTGATTTGCCCGACATGGAAGCCATCTTTGAAGAAGGATTCGGAAAGGAAATGTTGCAAGAAAAAAAGAAAAAATTCCAAATACCGCCCAATTACTCGCGACGACAGAGTGCGGCGGCGCAACAAGGCAGTAGCAGGCCCATGGAGATTATTCTGGAAACCAACGAAAAGAGTAATCGCAAACTCATGATTGATCATTCGTCGCCCGAAGAAATTCTTGGATTCAAAGATATGGACATGGTTGCATTGCAAAATGTATTGACGCCTTTGAAGAATAAGAAACAGCAACAAAACAAAAACAGTAATAATATGGGCGTCGAAGGACATGTATCGTTGGTGACATTGGATGCCGGATCCGATCACGCATCGGACCTGTCCGAATCGGATCACCACGCTCCCAGTCAAGTCACTAGTGTCGGTGATGACGACGATGAGGACGACGAAACTCATGACGACACGGCACCCGCAGAGCCACCGCAAGTCTTTCTTATGGATCAAGAACCCAACGATTATTCGTTTGAAAATCTGCAACACGTGTCGCGGTACAAAATGATTGACATGTACGGGGATCGTGGAACCTACACGGGAACCCTGGGCGACGACAAGGAGCCCTCTGGATTTGGCACCATGAAGTACGACAGCGGACGCTTTTACAAGGGCGAATGGAAAAAAGGACGATGGAATGGCAAGGGCACGCTCCTCAATGCCAATGGTGATTCCTACCAAGGTGATTTCGTCAGCGATGCACGGCACGGACGCGGGGTCTACCGATTCACCAGCGGCGATGTCTACGAAGGCGACTTTTTCGAAGACAATCGTCACGGAACGGGAAAATTCAAGTTTCATAATGGATCCGTGTACAATGGAGAGTTTTGCATGGGATCCTTTGAAGGATATGGCCGGTACGACTTTGACGGAGGATACTATGAAGGAGAATGGAAGCGAGATGAGTACTATGGCAAGGGCAAGCTACAGTACAAGGACGGAAGCAATTATCAGGGTCGGTTCAAGCGAGGATCGGCACATGGATTTGGAGAAGAACGGTTGGCCGACGGTACCGTGCGATGCGGATCGTGGAAACGAGGAGAATTCCTGCAAGAATGCACGGAAGAAGAGTGCAAAAGAATGGAGGCAGGAGGTGCCACTAGCAGGAATCGAAACAAACTGAAAGCGGGTGACGAACCACCCCCATTGGCAAGCTAAAGTGAAGCAGTAGTTTTCAGTTTCGTCATGTAGAGCTACGACTAGCCAGCAAGCAAAACTAGTTGTTACCTGCAGCCTTTCCCTGCGATACTGTAGACACAAGCTTGGTCAACTAGATTGAAAAGGTAACTGGTGCTTTATCTTCAGATCCAACAACAGACTGCCTGCGATTGGCACAACACACAGAATACCTGGACACTGGACCTGATCCCACCCCCACCACGAAACCAGGCTCTAGGCACCGGACCTTCTTTTGGAGGCATTGCTTCATTGTCCCCCCCAAACACCTAAACATAGTATCTCCAGCTTCCGTACGGTACCAGCTATACGGTAGTAGCTACATGTACGGTACCAAGAGGCTACGCGATTACATCGTAGTCTAAAATAATTGGAGCATGGTTCCGCTCCTTGGCCAAGGCCGACACCTAGCCTGACTCCAGGATTACCACTTGCCAGGAACTCCGCCGGGAAGATCTTGTCAGCTGCTAGCTAGCAATCTGCTGGGTTTGCTGGCCAGCCAAGCTAGCTAGACACACCACCAAGCCACCAAGTACTAGTAGATCGGGGTCGTCAAAGTTGATTGAAGAACCTTCCTGACTTCCTCGAGAGTGGTACAATAGCGGTACGAAAACCGTTCACCAAAGTTGTGTTCACGTTATTTAGGTACCAGCAGTCTTCGGAAGGGTCATGTGAGTCATGTGCCGGTCTTCTGGTGTGTTAAATCTTGATTTCTGTTGGTCATTAGTGTCTGCGCCTTCTAATTTAGCTCGTGAAAAGAGCACCGCAATTTAAGATCTCTTTCTTTCAGTCACAGTGCCTGTTGCAGCTGAATGAATGAATGCTGGAGCTGGAGCTGGAAGCTGGCAGATGCAGCGAATCCGTAAACCTCTGCTTCATGCCAATGTTTGCTGTCAGAGGTTGCTTGATAGATCGATTCGATTCGGTTCATTCTGGTGGCTAAGCAAAGGGCGTCACCTCCTCGTCCTCTAGTAGCTAGACTCTAGACAGTGTGTTGCCCCCTCAGACTAAATACAAGTGAAAGCAAGTCGAACAGACAACAGCCATGGTCAAGAAGAAGGCGTTCTCCAAGATCTTCACTGCCAGTGAGGTCAAGAAGGGTTTATTGGCAAACTCATCGCGGGAAGAGGAGGTACCGGAGCGGTCCGAGACAGCCAACAGCTTTGACGATGACTTTGCGTTGGAAGATGACTTTCCTATTGCACCCAAGGCAATCCGTGAAGGCGATGAAGACGACATTTTTGCCGAGAAAAAGCAGGCCAGTGACGATCTGTTCGACTTTCCCGAGGCTGGAGGGTTTTCTACCGAAGCCGGTGGGGCTTTCCCCGAAGATGATGATGGCTTTCCAGCAGACAATAACGATGCAGAGGCATTTCCAGAGGCGGATCCATTCAACTCTGGGTCGGGGGCGTTTGCTGGAGGAGGAGCGTTTGACAGTAATAATATTGAGGCAGAAGAGGACGACGACGAATTGGATTTGAATGATGAAGAGGATCTACCCGAGATGGACCAGGCTGCCTTTTTTGCGAGTTTCTCCAACTTGGAGAAAGCTCAGGAGGCCATGCAGGAGCAAAAGGATGGCAAAAAGAAGAAAACGGGAATTAAGAAATTATTCAACAAAAAGAAAGATCTTGGAATGCCAGGACCGGCAGCTCGCTGTGCCGAAATTGTGGTGGACAAATCCAAAATCCCCACCACCAAAGTGGACATGGAACTGGCGAATGGAGAACTTGTCACTCCCAAACAGGAGCTGGCGTTCGAAGAGGAAGTACCAACTGAAAAGGCAGAAAAAGACAAGGAGAAACAGGGTAAAAGCAGGCTCAAGTCCTTGAAGAAAACTCTGGTCAAGACGGTTCGGGGAAACAAGGAACGACTTGACGATTTGGAAATGGGAGACTATGAGCCTCCAGAGGTTGCTTTAGAAGACAAGGAATACGCTTCGGATCACGACCATGATGATGCATCAGACCACAACGAAGAAGATGACGAAGAAGACGACCAGAGAGAAATGGGAGACGGCTCGCATCGGCACCAATTAAGGCAAAGAGACCGAGTTCGTAATCGCAGACGCCACGGTGGTGGAGGAGGAGGAGAACCTCCTGCCACTGATCCGCAGCGGCGGTCCAGGCGCCGCGAATCACACGTCGATGGTCAAAAAATGCGACACAGTTCCGGTGGCGGAGCGGGGGGTCGCCTTAGCAAAGGTGACAACCGGGTCAGACGCAGTCGCACGGAGGAAGTTAGCGGTTCTCGCAGTCGCAACGAGGAGACAACCTCGGGTGGCGGTCGCAGACGACACACTGTCATGGACAAATCAGGGGGAAGTCCCCACCGACGGACTTCGAAACCCTCCGCTTCGGAAGCCATGGACGATCATTCCAAAAAGAAGGGCGAAATGACAGACGAATCTGGTAAGAATCCCACCATGGCGGATGGGTCTGCACGAAACCGCCGAAGCGACCCGGTCGATGGATGGTCACGAGCTCCTCGTGGGGGCGACTTGCCGGAAGGATCTTCTCGACATCGAAACAGTGGTACTCGCCGTCACGGTCGTGACAGTGGAGGAGGTGGAGGTGGCCATCATCGTGATAGCAGCGGCCGAAAGTCGATGCGAAAATCGAAATCTATTGACGACTCTGAAGCTCCTGCTCGTCGAAGCAAGTCGGGCGATGGATTGAGCACATCGTCCCATCAAGGCCTCATTCGACGCAACCTGACGGATAATTCAATGGGTAGGCGTGCCCAGAGCACTCGCCATCTGATAAAAAAAGAAGAGTCTCTGAAAGAGTCAACTCACAGACTCAGCAGTCGCGACAGACTGCGCCGAGCACCTCGCAGTGAACGGCATTTGATGGCGAACGTGGACAAGGAGAAGAAGCAGGCGGTGGGAAAACTGTTTGGCGGTGGTGGATTAAATGAGGAAAAGGAAACCAGACCTTCTCGTGGACGTGCTGGCAGTGATGGTGACGCGATCGATGATATTCTTGAGGAAGGTTCAGAGGAGGACGCGACCGAGTCGGAGGCAGCGTTGGACAAGTCCAATTTAGAGGAGTCAAAGGTAATTGATGAAATACATGAAAGGACGAGAGGAAATTCTGCCGCTGATTCTCCTGGTGCCGCTTTAGGGACAACGTTGTCGAAAGACGACGTCGCGAAATTAGTGATGGCCGTGAAGGCGGCCAAAGATGACGACGACTTGGAAGCAATCGTGATGGCGGCACTTGGTGGAGGAGAGAGCGCAAAGTCGTTCGGCCTCTCCGTGGATTTTTCAAAATCGCTTCTCTCGGGTGATCCTACGAAATCGTTGGGTCTCTCCATGGATTTCTCAATCGATGATGATGACGATATGACGCTCGAATCCGATCTTGATGACTCCAACGCCGCCAGGGAAGCCCACAATAACGCACGTGACTACGTGCACTCTTTTCTGAAAAAGCACTGTGGCGGTAGTGGAGTCGGAAAACCCGAAGAGCGACAACCCAACAACGATTACTCGAATGCACTTTCTCGGCTTGGGAGCGACCACTCGGAGAAGAAGGATGAGGATGTTGGAGACAGCTCCAAAAATGAATCTTCCAAGAAGAATAAATCGTCAGGCGGCGGGCGACGACACAGCAACAACTACGTGGATGTACTTGCCCAGCTTGGGAGCAACCACTCGAAAACCGAACAAGACGACATGAACACAAAGACGACTAGTAAGAAGCTTGCGAAAACGGTGTCATCTGGATCGCAGCACGGAACAGCAAAACGTGACGAACAATTGCGTCAGAGAAGGAGCAGTGTATCTGGAGCGCTGCACGGAACAGCAAAACGCGACGAAAAGTTGCGTCAGAGAAGGAGCAGTGTATCTGGATCACAGCACGGAACAGCAAAACGCGACAAAAGCAGTCTCGACGTTGCATGGAAAAGGGGAGGTACCGAGCAGGCAGAAGGCAAGGTCGACTTTTCAGTAGTTGCATCGAAACTGGAAGCCAAAGCGGAAGCGAAGCGGATTCGATCTCACGCTCAAGTGGCTATGGCAAAATAAATGGATGGATACTGTGTATTAGAGGTGTGTGGATGTGCCTGTGATGGGGTAATGTGAAAGTTACAATAAGAATTTAGTGCAAGAATTGAAGTTTGGCCCGCCCAATTTTGTTGTTGCAATGATGATGCCATCCAGATCCAGACTTTTGGAAGCCCCAAACCCCTGAATAAATCGTATTCTCGCCAGTGAATGGTCTCTTGGGAATTTGCTACTCTTAGCTAGCCATTTCCAAATCATAAAAACAAGTTATAAAAGTGTTTTGTTTAACACGAAAAGTTGTTTTGTAAAACTGATGCCGGTAGCGTCGGTCCGTCCATTGTTTAGTTTGCCCGGGCAGAGACTTCCCCTTCTCTTAAATGCCCAAGAGCGGAGTCGCGACCTTCATATACCGGTTGTTGTGGGTGTTGATGATGCGGATTCACACCTTCTTGAGGTTTAGTGCCATCCTTGGGACTGCACACTTGAGTAGGGCTGACAGCTCCTGCTTCTTCAGTGCCACCACAGTTCCAAATCGAATGAAAACCTCTGGAGAATCCCAGGGCATCTCGCCAGTCACCATCACCGTTCGTTCCTTGAGGATTCGTATCCATCATGTCGTTGCAAGAGTCGGTAACAAAACCGCTTCGTCTAGGCTTCTCGTCGCCTCTTCGAACTTTGGGTCGGTCTCGTGGGTTACTCTTCAACTTGGGAGGAGCACTTTGAGGCAATCCATTGCGGGACCTCAAATCCTGAGCAGCACTATTTCTCTGGCTCGAAGATGGAGGTACCCTTTGCTTGGGACTAACCATGCCCTGACTGTGACCACTGCGGGGTCTGTTTACAGCCAGAAGAGTGTCATCGGGCATGCCTTCAGCTTCTCGAAGCTTCTTGGAGCCATCACGTACGAGGTGTTTCATGTCGTCGTATGCCCCTATGATAACCAATGAGACCATGTTTGCTGGCTCGTTCGATTCTGCGTCCTGTAAATGGTAAACGAATAGAGTGTGAGGCACGATGGAAATAATTTGGCGAGTGGGCAACGATAGTGTCTAAAACCTACCTTTCCTGTCATGACCGCTTCTTCCACCAAATCCTTTGCCTTGTCGATCTTTGCCGCTTGACGAGACTTTTCTCCTCTCTTGGTCTTGTTTCCACGGTTGCTTCGGGTCGCTCGTGCATTTTGAGACAGAATCGTTCCGTCCTTGCTAATGGTAATGCCCCTAAAGATCTGGGCAGTCTGGATGGCTACGTTGGTACCCGACGCACTGACAGCAGAGTCATCGCTACTGCTATAGGTGAGAGGAGGGGGTGGCTCCGCAAAAGGTCCCAGGCAAACGTGAGGACTCTTGTTTCCAGTCAATCCAGCCATCTCTGAATCCAGATTCAGTTTGTAGCATCGGGCTCGAACAGCATTCTCGGGTGGGGGTGGCAAGACAATGGGCTGGGAAACGTCTCTCTGATCAACATCCATGGGTTCGACCATTCCATCAGTCTGTCCGTCCGGATCCCTCGCCTGAGGCTGGTTGGTGTCCATCTGCGGAAACTTGGCAAACTCGTGTTCCCCATTGGCCGGGACGGAAACATGAAGCTTTCGCTGATCCGTGTTCTTCATGTTTTCGTTGGACAACGTGGTCAACTTGTTAAAATCTAGGCTTTCGGTTCTCCCATCCTCTTTGAGCCGCTGCCGACTGCTGTTGTCGCGGTGGACCTGGCCTGAGCCATCGTGCCTCGCCGCCGAGGAGTTCCGGGCCTCGGGCAGTGTTGAACACTGGCCCATTGCGGCCTGGAGCAGGTAGCTGAGTGGGGATGTCGTCTTGATTTTGATCGTGTTGACTGCTCTAAGACTTTCCCTGCTTGTAAGGCAGAAAAGTCTCAGAACAATCAAATAAAAGAGGGAACAGCAGCCTCTGGTGGGTGTTGATTCTGGTGCACTCGTAATAGGAGCGTCACCGTCTGTTTTGAACAAGTGGTCTTGTTCTTCGAGAAGATCACTTCCTTTCAATTTGTGTAGGCTAGTATCGGGTATCAGACAATCGTTCCTAATGATGACTGAAATTTTTGAGATACTTTTGATTTGCTTCGTCCTTTTGGATAACTACAGCAGTGTGTTGTGTGTTGTGTTGCGTGAAACTAACTAAGAGGATAACAGCCAATGCGGAGTCGCAATGCGAGTTGTAGCCTTTGCACCAAGTAATGAGGATATCCAACACTCGAGTGTAAGTTGTTGTGCTTCTCCAACCTCTTGTACTACTTCCGAGACAAGATGATAACCAGAGGCAAGGACAACAATAGAATGCGATATAACACTCTCCGTCCACAGACCTCCTCACACCCAAGTCCAAGCTACCAGCGACTCCACTGTAGAGAAGAGATGTGATCGCCTCTCCTACAAGTCTTCTCTGAATAAAAGCGAGATACACACTGAGGTGCGCTGCTACATCTAATCTCCGAATTTTCCAATCGCTTATCGCTACGGATCAGCGAGGGAGTTTTACTGAGATGAAGCGTTGGATCCCTTGAAATAATAGGTTTTGCGGCCCAATCTTCATCGGCGACGCGGGATATCGTGGAGTGCTCGAAAGGTGCTCGCTCCGACCGGCGACTCCCTTTAAGTACTCTACTCATCCGTGTGTCCGCGAAAAAAGAGCAATTCCAATCTGCAAGCTTGAAGGTTATCATATGATACGATGACCGCCTGGCAGAACGGTAATTAGGCAATAAAACTTGTTCGCAAGCCGTCGAAGGCTCATTCACTGTTATTCGGGCCCGACACAATTTCCCAAACAAACTCCTCAGAAGAAAAATCAACTCCCAATTCAATCAAATAATCTTTCTGGGATTGACTACTAGCTACAAAGCATCGAATTTTCATTGCTATGCGGGTTGGAGAGATTGGACTCTTACTAGTGGTAGTTAGGAAGTTCCCATGGTGGTGTGCTGACGGCATTCGTAGCCAGCCAAGTTTGACTTGTTGACTTCCGTGTCTGGTACACGCTGGATTCAATCAACTTCCTTCGTTCCGACTCTAGCTAAGAGTTCAAAAATTCGTTTGACGTACAATCTTTTAAAAAAACGTCAATGTTGGGTTATTGGAAAGGACATTAAAGAAAGGGCGCCAGTGTGATAATATTACAGGTGGTACCAACGACCTCGACACTCGACAACCAAAAACAACCTCGACAACCATTGGCACCGGTAGTATCATGAGTCATGAGCGTCTCGTCATTGGGTTTGTTTTATGGATCTTGGCTATGCTCGCCTTCATAAGGTGAGGCGCGCGAATGACGAGAATGGGACTAGCAAAGGCTCTACCGTAGTAAAACCGATGAAAGACTAGTATTTTTTACTCAGTACAGTAACTGTTGGTTCAATCGATAGGAGCATCTGATTATCAGCAAGGCTCTGCCTTGGCCAGCCACCACTGCAGCACTGCAGCGCGCACGTGATCGTGATCCTTGGTGCGAAAGTAGACTCTAGCTAGCTAGCTAGCTAGTAAGTGAGATCCAGAGTCCATCTTCAGGACGGAGAAATAGAAAAGCCTGAAAGCAGTAGGGTTCAGGATCAACGTACTTTCCCTTTCCACCCGTCTGAAGCCTTCTCGACTTTGAGTCGTAGTCTTTGTCTCTAAGTCTTATCTGAATGTAGTCATTGTCGGGGCATTAGCCTTCTCGGTGTTCGGCAAGAATGAGTTCTCCGTAGCACTTTGTACTGAAGTCCAGTAGAACTTCTCCCGTAAACCCGAGTTATGGATGTCCACGTGGGATAATGGGCAGTACAATCGAAAGTGGAAATGACCGCTTGATTCTTTTTGATCGAATGGTGCGACCAGCGTAGCCGCTTCACTCACTGGACCATAGCATCCATTACCACAGGGGAGCATCTTGGTTTGGTTGATGGTTTATGTGTTGCTTCCATTCTAACCATCCGGAGTAGCTCGTAGCTGTACAACTTCCATCCTGATCTTGAAGAAGAAAGAGGGAGAAAGCTTTTGACCATTGGCATCAACACGAAAGTCTGTGACCATTGGAGCCATCGGCCATAGAAACGATACCACCACCTACCAGTACCAACATAATCTCATCAATCGAGTTGTCTATCTAGTGAGAGTCTGTTGCCTTTTTACAAGAGCAGCAGAGGTTTGACTGGTTGATCAATTGGCTATCTGCTATCTAGCTAGTAGGGACCAGATACCAGCGGGATAAGTCAAGCTACCCCATTCTGGACGACACCACTGCAACGGCACAACAGCAGTCCTGTGTTGCAAAGAAGAGGAGAGCAAGTGCGAGATTATTATAGCTAGCTAGTGCCGAGTCGACAACATGCAGGACGAATCTCAGAGTACATCGGTAGATTATCCGTCTGAACCTCTTACGAATGGGGTAGTATCAGGTCCGTCGACGACGATACCTTGCGCAAAGACCACGGAGAATGGCCACACCAATGGAGGCAGCAGCCACCCTATCAATACATGTAATAGAATCAACACCAGTACAAGCACAAGCAACAACAGTGAAGAAGAAGAGTCTGTGGCAAAGGAGAAGGAGGATACTGGAGGTGGTACGGACAGTATGGAAAGTTTGATCGCTCGATGGTGTCAGGTACAGGAAACCGAGAACCAAAATAGCACGGATATGCTCGGCACAACACTCATACTGTTATCACTGCAAAAACTGGAACGAAGAGTGGAAAAGCAAGAAACTTCGCTACAAGATTTATCCACTACCATGCATCAAAACCAATCTGCCCTTCAAACGGACCTTTCGCGGATATTATCCTTTGTCAAGGCACAAGAAGAATCCAACGACAAGCATCATTCCAACGATAATAACCACCACCACCAAAACCATCATCCAGCCAACCACCACCAACTCAGAAGATCATCCACCAATTCCACTGCTCCGCTACAAACGTTCCATGTCACTACATCCAATCACAGTCATATCCCAGGAAACGCCGTACACTCCACGGCGGCGGCCAGTGCCATTAGTGCGCTATCTGGATCCGAACAAACCGTCAGCAGTCACCAAGAATCCACCAACAACAACACTCATAACACCAACAACAACAACCAGCAGCAAGCAGCGGCGTTACAAGAAATCGTACTCTCACCCCAACACAATATTCATCGGACGGATACCAATAGTATCCACCCATCCAGTGTTTTCACTTCCGTCAGAACACTCGAAAAACAACCCCCACGACCACCCAAACGACATGACAGTTTCCAGAGTCTAGGCAGAAAATCCATTGGCATGATGAGCTCGGCATCCAGTGTAGCTTCCTCGGCGGTACTCAAGCCTCCAGCAGTCTTTGTGCCACCGCAAACGGAAGACGACGACGACTCACCTCCTGTGGATACTATGAAACCACCCGAACCTACCATCACTACTACTAGCAATAGTATCAAGCGAACCACCAGTGCATCCACCAACACCACGATCAACACTGGTGCTACCACGACCGTTGCCAACAACACATCGGCTATTGCGGGCATTGCGGGCGCAGCGGCACTCACCAGGAGCCGATCCAAATCATCCTTTCGCAGTTCCACACCTCAGTTGGACATTATCTGGGATGCTTCCGAACATACCACGGGACAATCTCCCCAACAAGCTGCCAAGGCACGAACTACGGCGGACAATACCAATCTCAACAGCAAGGGAATGAATCTGCGGTTTAATGCCATCAAGGCCAAACGACCCATGTTGGCGGCTTCGTTGGATGATGACGACGACGACTCGGAAGATGCGCGATCGGCCAAAGTATTCGGGGCCGTCAAATCGTACATGGATGTCGCCAGTGCGGCAGGAAATGCCAGTGGGGGAATCCCCACGCTGGCACCCATCAACAATCACGATAGTTGTCTCACGGGAGTACAGAGCTTTATGGATGAGGTGGAATACGATGATGACGACGATGATGATGACGAGGACTTGGAGGATCTGGAGGAGGAGCACGACAACAGCAACAGTCACAACAGCAACAGCAATGACGACGACAAGCCACTGGAAGAACCGCAAAATAATGGTGGTTTCGTATTGAGCGCGGCCGTGTCAATTGCCGAATCCACGGAAAGTGAAGACGATTTTGACGATGATGATTTTGATGACGACGAAGATTTTGACGACAACTTGGACAAAACATCGTCCACTAAGAGCGACAGCAAGAAGGAGAGAAAGCAGAGAAAGAAAGAGAGGAAGGAAGCACGCAAGAGAGAAAGAAAGGAGAAGAAGGAAAAGAAAAAGAAGAGCAAAAGCATCATCATCAACAACAAAGTTAGCCCCTCCGAGACGGAAGGGAAGGAACATCGGAAAAAATCGAGATTCAGCTTGCCTAGCACGGCCAAGATTATTTGGAAACGGTCTACTGGTACCAATAAGGAATCCTCCAGGTCCAGGGATAGTAGTCCCGTCAGGTCCAGGGAGCAAAGTCCAGTCATGCCCCAACGGCAGATTAGCACCAAGACCAGCAATTCAGGAGAGCGGCCGCCACCCACATTGGATAGAGCATTCAGTTTTGTGGACGACAATCCACGGACTCATCAAGTCGCGTCTGGCGCTGACCCTCCACTGCAACCCCCCTCGACTGCCGCACCCACCAAAAAGCTGCATCGTAGAAACACAAGCGAAACAAACAATATAACCCAAACAACGCGTGGTTCCACACGAAGCTTCACGGAAGCGTCGGAGACAATGACCGTCAAGACTCCCATGACTGCCAAAACACCACAAGATGCCATTGCCAGAAACGATATTGCAGAGCCACCGCCGCCACCCCAAGCACAAAAGACACGGCAAATTTTCAATCACCAACAACACGCTAGCGCACAAAACAGGCAACACCCCTTCAATCTGTACAGCAACCAGCACCCTCACCAACCGCAACAAGCCTATGACAACCGTGAAAATGATTTTCATCAACCGCCGCGTCGCCGGGCGCCCTTTCCGCGAGCACGGGGAATGATGCCCACTCTAGTGAATAGCAAACGCGAGATCGTGATTGCCGGTGGAGAATCGTCTCGTTTGCAAATCTCGTCCTTGACATTGGACACGGCTCTGCCGTCGGCTGATGCTGGTTCGGTCCTGCAAGAAGTGATGAACAAGTCCATAACAGACAAATGCAAAGAACGTGGTACATACACTGGAACGCTCAATGAATCAGAGGAACCTGACGGCTTTGGAACGATGATTTACAACAGTGGAGCTTTCTACAAAGGACACTGGAAGGAAGGACACTGGTAAGCCCTATGTCGTCGGGTCTTGGTGAATTTTAATCTGCCTCGTATGTCGGCTTACACAAGTGAATTCTTTTCCTGCAATTAAGGCACGGCCACGGCATTCTGAGAACACCGAATGGCGATGGCTACGAAGGTGACTTTGTCTATGACTGTCGTCACGGAAGGGGCATCTACAAATACGAGAATGGCGACGTGTATGAGGGGGACTTTAGCTCAGACAAACGCCATGGTAAAGGTACCTTTTTGTTTCAAAGTGGAAGTATGTATCGCGGGGATTTTGCTTTTGGAAACTTCCACGGCTATGGCTGGTATGAATTCGACGAAGGCTACTACGAAGGCTCGTGGGCGGAAGGTGTGTACGAAGGAATCGGAAGTTTGATTTATAAAGATGGCAGCCACTACACTGGTCGATTCAAAGGTGGTGTTGCCGATGGTCTGGGCGAGGAAGTCAAACCCGACGGAAGCACTAAAAGAGGCATATGGAGAAGTGGTGAATTCATTGGCCAAGCGGATGGGGAGGAAACAGCTTCAAACAATCATGATATCGTCCTGTCACTGTAGAGCAGGCTGAGCCACGGCGCACTATCGTTTGTCTGCGGTGTGATTCTGTGGTGCTTGCAGCTTGCGTCAGTTTTCCTGGAAACTTGGCTCCTCTAGCTAGCTAGAACAATAGTGTAACCATACACCCATAGCTACAGTACAAATAGGGAGGCGAATCTCCAAGTGACGGCATTTGGCAGTGTAAGCTAAGACGTCGACGAAAGACCGCTTCTAAGGGTAGTTTTCTGAATTACGATACGGTATACGGTACGCCTGAGCAAACTATAGGGGATGCAAAGTTGCATGTAGGGGCGTCAAGTCACGGTTGCTCAGCTCACTGCTTTGAAACCTTTTTATTGGGAAAGGCATCCTTTAGGTTGCCCCTTGGCACGGCCGCGGCACTGTTTGACAGAGTGGAGTGACCAGTCGAGTGATGGTGCAGATACCTTTGCGCGAATAAAAGATTGCTTGTGTACCGGTCCATGTGACCCTTCCAGTCCCAGTTCGATGCAACAGTTGCGTAATGGTTTCGCAGCGCCTAAGCTTCATGTCTCCTGGTAATGACTTGGAGAGGCATCAAACAGCAGACACTTTTTCTTTTTCTTCACAGTACGACAACCATTGACAATGGCAACCGCAACAGAAGGCATCACTGATTCACCCATCCCAGTTGGAGTGCTTTTAACGTACGGCTGGCTAGTGGTTTGGGGCTACCTCCTCGTTCAAGGTCTCCAAAGACAACGATCGTTCCAAGACTTCTTTTGGGCTGGAATCGCTTTGATGGCGAGCCTGAATGTGGGATACTTTGTGAATGGAGTCCCAGAGTCAATTGCCAACTTTGTTGGTGTTTATGATACTCTCGTTAACCTTGGTATCGACAGTCTTCAAGAAAACTAAATACCAGCCAACTTGATTCCATGTTGCAACAACTCTTGTGCCGTTTGGGGTGACCGATACGTCCAACATTCTGCTTGGGCGTCTGCCTTTTATGAACGCTTTGCCTACGGTCCCAAGCTGCGATCATGTATCTTGCTGGTTCATATTGCCTGCAATTCCATCGCGTTGGTCTCAACACAACTTCAACTACTACATACTCCCTACAACCCTCAGAAAAAAGCCCAGCACAAGTTGCTAGGGTACATCACTTTCATTTGTGCAACAATTGGCTTGGGCTGTGCATGTTGGTTGGCTTCCGAACATGGTGAAATAGATGAATATGGTGGCAAATGGTCCGAGTATGGCTTTTATTCCATGGCAGCTTGTGTCTATGGGTGTCTTCTCCTGGGCATTGTGACTATCCAAGCTGGCGATTGTGCAGCTCATCGAATGTGGATGTTCAGGTTTGCCGGATCCTTGTGGGGATCCTTTTGGCTTTTCCGGGTTGTTCTATTCATCATTGATCCCTTGCTACGCAGTTTCAAGACAGCAGCCATTCTGATTGTCATTTGGGGTTCGGCACCTGCTGGGGCAATGCTTGGTGACCTGGCACACTGGTGGGTGGACAAAGAGACGAAAGCCAAGGGTACCGGTAGATCAAAAATCGAATAGAGGTGATTGATTCAAATCTAATGATCAAATCTGGAATTTTTGGATCGGTTTCAAGCTCTACTAGACCAAGCCAGCTTAGATTGCAGTGTTTTGTACATCCTTTTATATCATCGATGGCCAGTTGTCACGCCGCTGCATGACAATCAACTGCTCTTCGAAGCGGAACCAAATGAACTTTTGGAAAAACGTAAAAAGGCTGTGGCACCAAGCCCTCGATGATTTTCCTGTGGCATTTGAGGCATTCCAAGCTTTACAAAATAATACCAACTAGAGATAGTCTATCCTTTCAAATTTTGCAAAATTCAATTCGCACCACGGGTGCTTGGCTCGCGGGGGACCACCTCCGCCCACCCCAGAGTTCCCATCTTACCCACCAGTGGATGCCAAGTTGAACTGAAACAAGGAACAGTCACATTCAATCTCAAACAAGAGCTGAAATATGCCAGAACCTACCCACTGCTCAAATAGAAATTGATGAAAGACTACAACTGGTCAGAAGACACATTCAATGACATTGACTGGACCGCACATGGAAGAGCTTTGCGAAGACACGATAATCATCGTCCAACAATGGTCAAATACCTCAACAAAGTCCTACCTGTCGGAGCATTCCTCCATAAAACAAACCCCAAGTATTATGCAGGATGCCCATCATGCAACAACCCTTCAGAAACAAGGCACCATCTGATGGAATGCAGCAGCCCTGAAAGAATCAAATGGCGCGAGAAATGCTACAGTGCAGTCCTAGCATATGTCCAGAAAAAGGACACCTCTCCAAAAATCCAGGGGCTTCTCCTATCAGGCCTCAAAGTATGTTTACATCACCAAAACCCAACAACAATCCAAGAAGATCCTTCATGGGACACACTGAAACAAGCACAAGATGCCATTGGATGGCATCATCTGTTAAAGGGGAGAATCTCTAAACAATTCAGTCAGGAACAAGACCGATATTTGAACATGAAAAAGACCGCAACCAAACGCAACAATGGACTCACATGGCTCACTGGACTCATTGACATTATCTATAAAGAATGGTGGAAACTCTGGGACATGCGCAACCAAGACAGACATGGGCACGACATGAGAACCAAGTCACAAGCAAAGAAAGCACAAGCAATCCGACAACTCACTCAGTTCTACGAAGCATACCAGCAAGAAGTCCCTGAACATTTGGAATGGCTATTCCAGATACCACTCGAATCGCGCATGCAACTGAATACACCAGTCATCATTCAATTTTTGAACACATGGGAACCTGTGTTACAAGAGAGTCACTACACCACAGCCCTGGAAACAGGATAGTCGGACATTCCTACCATCCCTTTTTCCTTACCCCTCCTACCCCCTCAAACTTCTTTACCAACCCCAACTCTCTTCAACAAAGAGCTCGTGATTTGTGGTGAATCATGGCTCCGACCTCAGTGTACAAATCCTTAGATAGCTAACAGGTGTCGCACCCTCTCAGGAGGCCAGTGTGGCCGGTGAGCAGACTTGACTGTGGGAAATACCCGAGCCTTAGCTCGTGGGTAGTCCTCAAGCACATCTCGTCTGAATCCGTTATTAGACGTTCCGTTTTTTTTTCACCTCCGCCCACCCCAAAATTGATCATTCGATTCGATTCGATTCGATTCGATTCATTCGATTCAATTCTGCTTCCCACGAAAACCTGGAGCGTTCCTCAATCGTGCATGAAACCGACCCTAAAATAAGGTCGGATTTAGGGTCGGATTCCCTTTAGGGTCGGGTTTCGAAACCGACCCTAAACATAGGGACTGCACTACGCTAAAAGCTAGTGTAAAGATCTTTCGAGTGTTTTGAGTTTGAGAGAATGAAAGTTATGAGTTATGAGAGGATTAGAAAGCTATGAAAACTAATCAACGAGAGAGATCATCATCAAGGGATCGTAGATCTGCTTCCCGCGGGAGACTATAAAGTGTGATAGAGTAGGTTGTGGTAGTATCCTACGTCTCTCCACGATCCTAAAACGGAACGCGTGGAAGTTTGTCTAGCTGGATCTAGTAGCGTGGAAGTACTCCCACGCTGGCTAAATATCTAGAGCGATTTTCATCATCACCTAGTATGACTAGCGCGGTCATTGAGAACCCTGTCTCAAATGACTATTCACGAGAGACTCAGTCATGAGTCGAACTCAAACCCTATCTAGGATCGAGTCGCGAATAAGGCTAAGACCCGTGTATTGCATTCGCCCCTGACAAGGGTCACAGAAGGCGCGACAGCAGTCGGACAAGGAGAACATATGATTTAAAGTGCGGGGCACTCTCATGAGATTTGGATGTAGACATTTGCGTCGCACGATGGCAATCCTACAAGGGGATCAGGCCTTGTATGGGTGTATATACCTTATTTCAAGTCTGGTAGACTGTGCCGCCATTGGCGGTAGCATGTGGAGCCTACAGTGCCATTGTCATTGACCGGTCTATAGTGTAAGGACCTTTGTACTTTGGCTAACCGTACTTGCGGTGCTGATACTGTTGAATCATCACACGTATCGTTGACATTGTATTGATGAGGGACACGCGTGCGTTTTCCCTATCGTTGTTTTGTTGGATTAGTCGTTGGCGACGTTCCTAATGTACTTCCAGTTGGCTTCGAACCGGACGTGTGAATCGCGTCACGATTGAACACGAGCTGTGCGGGCGTTGCACGCAAGGTGGTATGAATCGTGCATTCATTGCAAAGCGAACGCCGTGAGGACTCCATCCCAGGATCCATTCACGAGGTCGTCTTGGCACTTGATGTTTTGAACAGCGATCAAGTTACGTATGGTTTGATGAGCACGCTCGACCATAGATGTTGGCTTGAGGGTTCGCGTGGTGATGAACTTGCGACGAAGTCCATATTCATCCCGGAGTGTCTTTTCGACCTCTGCGCGGAATCGCGTC